TTAAAAAATATATATTTTATTAAGCCTAATTTGTCACTATCATAATATAGGGAAATATGAATCCATATGGAAAGGGAGATAAGAGACAAAGAGAGGACCAATCACCTCGATTCATGATAGTGGATAAGGCCCCAACACTCTTGAAGACATGGTATGAAAATATGACAAACCATGGACGAGGACTGGTGTTCAAACGCTTGGGATTTCTACGAAGTCTTTTGTATGTTGAGCCACGACGGAATTTGATAGAAGCACTAGTGCATTTTTGGGACCCATTAAGGAATGTATTCCGTTTTTCTGATTGTGAACTCACCCCCACCCTTGAAGAGATAGGGGCATTCATTGGAAAGGGTAAACATCTTCACAAAGAAGAGCCTATGATACCAAAACATATTAATGGGAGGAGGTTTCTAGAATTACTGCATATAAATGAGAATGATATAGGTGGTTGTCTCAATAATGGATGGGTCCCGTTAGAATTTTTGTACAAAAGATATGGCAAAAGTGATGGATTCGAAGTGTATGGAAAGAAACTCCGTAATAATGGGTGTCGTCTAACTTGGGAAGCACACAGTTATGATGCCTTCATGGTGTCTTTTTTGGGAATCATGGTATTTCCCAAAAAGGGAGGAAAAATTAGCATGAACTTAGCTGCAGTCATTACAGCTTTTGAGAAGAAGCCTAATATCACCCTCGTACCAATGATTCTGGCAGACATCTATCGTGCTTTAACTATTTGCAAGGATGGAAAAGACTACTTTGAGGGATGCAATATGTTATTACAACTATGGATGATTGAACACATTCGTCATCGCCCTTATGCAGTGGACTTTAAAGTAGAATGGAATGATTATATTGGAGGTCACAAAGAAAGAATCAAAGATCATAGTTTTCCGAAGGGTATTGAAGCTTGGAAGCAACACCTCAATAATCTGACTACTGACAAGATTGTGTGGAATTATCATTGGTTTCCATCGGCCGAGGTGATATACATGTCTACTTTTCAATCGTTCATTGTTCTAATGGGTCTTCGAGGTGTCCAACCTTATATGCCACTTAGAGTCATGCGACAACTTGGGCGACGCCAGTTTATACCACCCAATGAAGATATGCGTGAATTCATGTATGAGTTTCATCCCAAGGTACCTTTAAGGCAATCAGAGATATTTAAGATTTGGGAGGGATGCATACTCTCAAGTCCCCACGATATGGTGAAGGATCGCACAAGAGGCGAGGTGGACCAAGCATACTTAGACTAGGTTCATGATCAGCCCCTTCCTAAGGTTATGCCAGAAGGGTCAATAAAATGACCTATAGATCGAGAAGCAGAAATTGAGGTTAAGATTAAGCAAGCTCGCCTCAAAGTCGAAAGAAGCTACAAATCTACTCTGGATATCCTAAGTAATGACCTGAAAAACGCTAAAGAGGAGTTGGCCCAACGTGATGCGATATTTGAAGTTAGAGTTAGAAAACACCGCTCTACCATTCTAACCTTAGAAGAAGACTTGGGCTTTGCCACAGGCGCTATGGAGCAACAGGAAGAGGAGTATAAGAAAGAAAAGGCCCAACTTGTCTGCGCACAGTCTAGACTCCAAACTCAAGTTAAAGCCTCTATGGAACGGGAAAGAGAAATAGCAAGGGGTTTTAGTGCTTATTAGGCAGACTGTGAGATTGAGAGAGGTCAAGAATAGCCAGCGAGATGCACTCCACCTTCAAATTGAAGAACTCCAAGAACAAAGGGAAAATTTGACGCATGAAGTAAATACTGCTCACCACTGGTTACAGAATTGTTATGACAATATGGATGAAGCCAGAGACCGAATACTACAACTCAGGGATGAACTCAACAGTGTTTATGCTAGATATTTACACCAAAACGATGAGAGGTTGGGCCAACAGGCCCGTGCTTTGGCTCCATATCTACCGAAAGCGTTGGCGAAGATTTATAAGGGCCTTGGAGATGATTGAGATTCGAGGATTCAGTTTCTTTTAGAGTCTATTCTCTTAGTAGTGATTATTTCATTATTATTATTATTATAGGTTTTTCTCTTTCTTTTCGTTTTGTTATTTTATTTCATTTAGAGTCTATCTAAGTCCTAGGTACTTCTGTTTTTTTTGTTTGTTTGTTTTATTCAAATCATTGTTTCAAATATTTGAAAATGAATGAAAAAGATTTACTTTTGGTCACCTTATGTGCATATGTCATACAAAAAAAAAGTAAATTAATATAAAAAAATTATTATTAATATCTTCCTCGAACTACGCAAGATCTGATTCATGGGCCAAACATGATACGTAGGCAACCCAGGGGGTTCGATCCAAATTATTATTATTATTATTATTATTTTTCTTTTCTTATTTTTTTTCTTCTTTCTCTTAAAAAATGATAATCATAATGATAATAAATAAACAAATAAGTAAATAAATAAATAATAATAATAAAATATTAAAAAACTAATGAAGAGAAGAATGCCTAGGTAAGTCGGGGTGAAACATGAGGTCCTCCATATTAGAAGTATGTATGTGGATACAATGTGCATAATTTCTTAACACTAATCGATTTATTACTCTATTCAGAGAGAGAAAGAGAGAAAGAGAGAGAAATAAAGAGAGACATACTAGCTTAAAGGTGGTTGGTTTGTGGTGAAACTGGCATCACATCCTTACAACACAAGATCGAAAGGGAAACAGAAAATGGCCCCCAGAGACGGAAATGAATCGGACAATGATGAGGAGATCCAAAACCAGATAACTTCATAAGAAACAGGGACAACAGAAGAGATAAGGGTGTTAAGACAACAAATGGCAGAGATGTACGAGGCTTGGATGAGTGGACAACCTCCACCATCTTCAATCCGAGACTATTTTAATATAAATATGTCTCACCCTATCCAGGTGTCGACAAGCGATCCGATATATCCCCCTGGATTCATCCCCTATGCTAACACATTCAATGTCGCTGGAACTTCCATGGTGCGCCCTTCGAATACGCCTGTGCTAAGTAATCCACTCTTTGTGTCAACTGCCCCGACTAACAGCATCTCGCAGCCAACGATGGTGCCCAAATCCAACAGTGATCCTCCGCCCAAAGTTCGGCGTGAACAGAATTACACTCTTGAAGAGGCCATTAAAATTACAAGCTCTCATCCCCATATTCATCAATATAGTTCCCCTGTCGAAATTGAGAAGATGGTCAAGAATGAGGAACATGAAGAAATGACTAAGAAAATGAAGAGTTTGGAACAAAGTATAAGAGATATGCAAGGACTAGGAGGCCACAAAGGCATCTCGTTCAGTGACTTTTGTATGTTTCCTCATGTCCACTTGCCTGCTGGTTTTAAAATTCCAAAGTTTGAAAAATACGATGGTCGCGGAGACCCCATAGCTCATCTAAAGAGATATTGCAACCAATTGAGGGGTGCAAAGGGCAAAGAAGAGTTACTTATGGCCTATTTTGGGGAAAGCTTAATAGGGATTGCATCTGAGTGGTTCATAGATCAGGATATCACCAACTGGCACACATGGGATGATTTGGCTCGATGTTTTGTACAACAATTCCAATATAATATTGACATTGTTCCAGATCGCTCCTCGTTAGCCAACATGAGAAAAAAGACCACGGAAAATTTTCGTGAATATGCTATCAGATGGAGGGAACAAGCTGCTAGGGTTAAACCACCGATGAAGGAGTCAGAGATGGTTGATGTTTTTCTCCAGGCGCAAGAACCTGATTACTTTCACTATCTGCTTTCTGCCGTAGGGAAGACATTCGCTGAAGTTATTAAGGTAGGGGAAATGGTGGAAAATGGCATAAAGTCTGGAAAGATTGTAAGTCAAGCTGCCTTAAAAGCCACAACACAAGTGCTTCAAAATGGTTCTGGAAATATTGGAGGGAAGAAGAGAAGGGAGGATGTGGCCGCTATTGTATCAGCGCCTAGGACTCATGTTCTAGGTAATTCCCCACAACACTATTTTCCTTCCCAAGCTCCACAATATTCTATGCCATACACTCCATATCATGTTCTTAATGCACAACCAATTGCACCCCCTTCTTATCCACAATGGCGTGCACCAACTCCACAAAATCATCCACCACCCCCACAAGTTCATCAAAATATTGCTAGAATTCCTTTCCGTCCTAGACCACAATACAAAAAGGGAAATGGCGTTAAAGGTGAGTTCACTCCTATTGGGGAGTCGTATGCTAGCTTGTTCCAAAAATTAAGGACATTGAATGTTTTGAGTCCTATTGAGAGAAAGATGTTGAATCCTCCCCCGAGAAATTTGGATTATTCTCAACATTGCACATATTGTTCTAATGCCCCAGGGCACAACATAGAGAGATGTTGGTATTTGAAAAGGGCCATTCAGGATTTGATCGATTCTAATCGAATTATAGTTGAAAGTCCGAGTGGACCCAACATCAATCAAAATCCATTATCAAGGCATACTGAAACAAACATGCTAGAAATGATGAAGGGTCATGAAGATTTTGCATCTCTGTATAAGCCAATCCTTAGGGTTGGAACTGGCATTGAGAAGTCAGCAAATGTTGTTGATTTAACAAAAATGATGCCTTTAGGGGCGGAAAGTGTGTTAGAAAAGTTGAGTCCATCAAACACACCCATCTTAACTGTGAATGGAGCCCTTGAAGATGTTTGGGCAAGCCCGAGTAAGGCAAAATCGTATGTTCCAAAAGGGCCAAACAAGCCTATCTTGATCATGCGAGGGTCCCACATTCCTCTTGTGATTATCAGGCCAGTACCCCAGCTCCCAATGACTAACCCCATAGTTGTTCCTTGGAATTATGAGCCTACTATCGTTACATACAAGGGAAAAGAAATAGATGAAGAAATAGATGAAGTGGGAGGAATAACCCGTTCAGGAAGATGTTATGTCCCGATGGAATTAAGGAAAACTAAAAATGATCAAACACAAATAAAGAGTCTGGTCACTGAAGGAGAGGCAGAGGAATTCCTAAGGAAGATGAAACTATCAGACTACTCCGTGGTGGAACAATTAAGAAAAACTCCAGCCCAAATCTCTTTGTTGTCTTTGCTAATACATTCTGATGAACATCGTAAGGCTGTAATGAAAATTTTGAATGAAGCACATGTTCCTAGTAAAGTTACAGTAAGTCAGTTAGAGAAGATTGCTGGGAGAATATTTGAGGTAAACCGCATCACCTTTTCAGATGATGAACTACCAAAAGAAGGTACAGGACATAACCAAGGCCTACATATCACTGTAAAGTGTGAGCTTTCATATGTCACTCGAGTTCTAATTGATGGAGGATCTGGAGCAAATATTTGTCCTTTATCAACTCTACAGAAATTGAATGTTAGTGCTGAAAAGGTCCGACCCAACAATGTATGTGTTAGAGCTTTTGATGGGTCAAAAACAGATGTTATTGGTGAGATAGAGCTCGTACTAACCATAGGGCCTATGGATTTCGCTGTGAATTTTCAAGTGTTGGATATCAACGCGTCCTACAATCTATTGTTGGGGAGGCCATGGGTGCATAGGGCTGGAGCAGTCCCCTCAACATTGCATCAAATGATTAAGTTTGAACACGACTGACAAGAGGTAATTGTTCATGGTGAGGGGGATTTTCCAATCTACAAAGACTCTTCCTCCCCTTTTATCGATGCGGATAATGAGAAGAGGCACTATTTTATCAAGCTTCTGAGGTAGTGGTTATTGAGCATGTCCCCGAGGGGAGTGTCATTCCAAAACCAAATATGCCCATCGCATCTGTAATGGTGGTGAATGAATTGCTGAAACATGGGTTTGAGTCGGGTAAAGGCTTAGGAATCTGCTTGCAAGGAAGATCTTATCCTGTGAGTCTACGAAAGAGCATCGGTACTTTTGGCTTAGGCTAACAACCTATATTCGAGGACAAAATGAAGGCAAAGAAGCAGAAGAGAGATATATGGTCACTTACCAACCTATACAACCAATCTACAAATCTTTCATCAAAGCCCGCGCAACAGAATCTTATCAATCATCTTTTTTAGGGCAAGTGATGAAAGTTAGCGAAGAAATGATCAACTATTTTCAAGATTTATTTGTCGAGGTTGATATGGTGGAACTCGGAGAAGACACTAGCGACAGAGATGTGCAATTCATTGATCCTGATGTCAATCTAAACAATTGGGAGGCCACCCCTCTCCCCGTCAAAGACGAGTCTTGGTAGTCTGTTTTGTTTTTTCTTTTGTCATCCGATTCATTCAAGGATTGTAATTCGGATTTTATCTTGTTGTTTTATTTCAAACATTCTATTTCCCTTTTCAATAGGATGTAATTGCATCTTTATTTCAGTCTAATATATTTATTCGTTTTCTTTTATACAGTTCTTTCTATGCCGATTCTAGTGATATGACATGCATGCAGAATTTTTCGCCAGATCTTAATATCCAATCTAATCTTCGACCTAATATTAAAATAATAAGTGAAGAAATCGAATATGATGAAGACAGAGTATTTGAAGAAGTAAGGAGAGATTTCAATCATTTTTAAAATAAATCAAATCCAAACATGAGTGAAACTGAGACGATAAATTTGGGAGATCGAGAAATTATTAAGGAGACTAAGATAAGTGCACATGTTCGACATCAAAAGGACGATATAATCCAGGCCCTGTTTGATTACAAAGATGTTTTTGCGTCATCTTATGATGACATGCCTGGATTAAGCACTGACATGGTTGTTCACAAGTTGCCAATTGATCCTAATTTTCCTCCGATAAAGCAGAAGTTGAGAAAACTCAAAACCGACATGAGTGTAATAATTAAAGAGGAGATCACAAAGCAACTTGAGGCCAAAGTCGTTGAAGTCTCTCAATATCCTTCTTGGTTAGCCAATATCATACCCGTCCCTCAGAAAGACGGCAAAGTTCGAATGTGTGTTGATTATCGTGATTTGAATAAGGCAAGTCCAAAAGATGTTTTTCCTTTGCCTAACATCCATATTTTATTGGGTAGTTGTGCTAAACATGAGGACGCATTTTGCCACATCATGCTGAAACCAAAGGCAAATTTTCTCCAAATTGGAGAGGACCATTCGTTGTTAAAAGGGTATTACCCAATGGTGCTCTTTACTTAGCAGATATAGAAGGCAAAGTGACAGAAACAGTCGTCAATGCTGATGCTGTGAAAAGATACTACATATGATTGAGTTTCGACATTAGAAACCCTTATGTTTGGGCTTGATATTTCAAGGGTTGATTCAACGGGATCTCTTGGTTACGCTGTGTCCTTGACTTTTCAAAAAAAACAAAAATAAAAACAAATTGTCTGAACTACGTTTGACCTGATTCTTGTTACGGCAAGATACGTAGGCAGCCCTAATATTGGGTTCGGTTCAACCAAATACAAATCCAAAAATTCATATTGTAGAATACTGGGGCAAAAGTCGTTTGTTTATTTATTCGGTCTCTCATCTCACAGCTCAAAATTAACCCCATCATCTAAAGTCAAAAAAAATAAGTCTTTGCATCAGCCCTTGATATGTCGAGAATAAGTTGGTTAAAGGTAGGTAAAAATCCTGAATGGGCGCCATAAGACAAATGTGAGTAAAAATAAATAAAAATGAGAGAGTCTTATTGGTGAAAACCCTAAGTGGGCACCGTAAGGCGAAAAGGAGTTGAATATAAGAGAGTCTTATTGGTGAAAATCCTGACATGCACCATAAGGCAGACGTGAGCTGGAGCAATTAACATGATTGAGTTTTAGCGGCAAAGACCTTCGTGAATACCACAAAGTCTATAAGGGTTCAGATTATTTATGGCTTCATTAAGTGTTGGGATTCCACATCAAGATTGAATAATCAATAATGGTTGATGAATAGATTGGATATCCAAGTCTGGAAATCAATTCAAATTGCATGGCATGATCATTAGACTCGGCTCCCACACTCAGATAAGTTTTTCTTTCTTCTTCTTACTGAAAAAAAAAGTCTTCATCGAATCTTTTCTTTTATTCTCATATAGTTCGTAATTTTCTTATACTTTTTTTTCGTCACTTTTTTGGTATGTATTTGAGTCGAGTCTTTGTCAAATAAAAAAAACTATGAAGGAATTTCACGACTCGCTACCAAGTCTCTAATCGGTACTAGGCAAAGCATCAGGCTACTGAGTTAATCTGTCTTCAAGTGTTGAATTCGAAAATTCTCTGATCCTATGAAGGCTAAACAATGAGTGTTGGGAGATAAAGACATTGGATTTAGGTCCCAAAGTAAGCAAATTTGGATGAAAGTACTATCAATCAATAAGAAGTATTGACCGTTGGAAACAACCAAAGCGTCATAAGTGTTTGAGCCGCCCTTGTCGAAAGATGGAACCACAAACCAACCACCACCTTTTCAAACTCATAAATTTTCTTTGTTGAAGCAGGGACACAAGTTGTTTCAAGATTGAGGATTCGAGGAACCTAGATGTTCAACCTAGTTTGCAGCGAGCGAAAGGGAACCCTTACAATAAAGACTTGTGGAATATTATATGAAAGTTGGCTAATATATATCAAAATAGCAATTACTTCAATGTTGGAGTATTTATTTTATTTATTACTATTATTATTATTTTTCTCCTTGGAGGAACTTCCAAATAATGAAGATAGCATTCACAATATTTTGTTAGTATTATTAGTTTGTTGAAAATTTTATTAGCAGGATCCTCCTGGATAATGGGACTAGCAGGACCCTCCTGGATAATGGAACTAGCAGGACCCTCCTGGATAATGGGATTAGCAGGACCCTCCTGGATAATGGGATTAGCAGGATCCCCCTGGATAATGGGACTAACAGGACCCTCCTGGATAATGGGATTAGCAGGACCCTCCTGAATAATGGGAGTAACAGGACCCTCTTGGATAATAGAGTAGCAGGACCCTCCTGGATAATGGGACTAGCAGGACCCTCCTGGATAATGGGACTAGCAGGACCCTCCTGGATAATGGGACTAGCAGGACCCTCCTAGATAATGGGACTAGCAGGACCCTCCTGGACAATGGGACTAGCAGGACCCTCCTAGATAATGGGACTAGGAGGGTTCCCTCCTGGATAATGGGAGTAGCAGGACCCTCCTGGATAATGGGAGTAGCAGAACCCTCCTACATAATGGGATTAGCAGGACCCTCCTGGATAATGGGACTAGCAGGACCCTCCTAGATAATGGGACTAGCAGGACCCTCCTGAATAATGGGATTAGATTACTTCCTCATAGGATTAACACTTCCTAGTCTAGATTTTTAGTTTTATTTTCTCCTGAAATAAACACTTCCTAGCCGATGTTTATGTTTTATATTTATATTTGCTAATAACTCACAAAAAATTTCCCAGTGAAAACTGGGGCAAAAATTTTATTTATTTTTTGTTTGTGGTGGTTCTCAGGTTTTCTCAAGCGAGACCTGGATTTGAATTTCAAGAACAAAGTTTCAAATTTTTTAGAATAATCAATTCCATGATGGTTAGAATTAGTTTCTTCAATGCATGTAGCAGCCTGATTTCCACACAATCTTTTGCTAGTCAACTTTTGATCAAGAAAACACGCATTCATTCAGGAGCATTTTTCAAGTTGTCATTTTGAAGAATATCAAAAGTTCCGTCTAAGTGGCAAGTTCAGCCTCTATTCCAATTTTAAGTTTTGATATTCACTCAAAAATCAAGGTGATATCTTAAAGTCAAAATTCAAGTGAAGATTTAACAAAAGCTGCATGGATGGAAGTTTGTACATTTGTTTTTCTTTGGCTAATAGTTTTCAATTTTCATGTAAGGATAAGAGCCGCGATCTGGAGCCTCGATGGAACCTCACTTAACTTCGAACTCATCACTTTATCTCCTCGAACTACAAGTGGCCTGATTCCCTTATCACCCGGGATGTGTAGGATGTCCAAACAAGGACTCGGTCACACAAATTTTGGTCTTTCAAATAAGAGTTCGGTCAAAACTTGTCACTTTTTCTACTTCTTTGTCTGAAAAACTCCTCGTGTTCCAGTCAAAGAGGGGCAAACTGTAGACACGTAATTTTTGACCGAATTTAAGTTTAACACCAATATTTAGAGCATAAATAATTTTATCAATCTAAATTAAATATATTTTGACTTTTTATTATTTTCATTAAGTTTATTTAAAATATATAAAAATAAATAACATAAATATAATTTTTATTAGATAACTTTATTTTGATTGTTAAAAAAAAGATATATATATATATATAAATATATATATATATATATATATATATATATTATTTAAATAAACTAATATTTCTTAATTATGTCCCTTATGTTTTAATTACCCATTTAGCTTTTATTTATTTATTTACTCAAAGAAATTAATAATTATCATTTTTATATATATATTGAAAATTTAAAAAAAAACCCACACACACACAAATCCCACGATCCCTCCCCATTCCCCACTCCCACTCACACCCCACGACATGCACACACATGCACTACCATATTACACAACAT